GAAAATTCAGATATTGTCCTGTCCGTGTAGGCTCTCTGTAGACAGACCGTCTTGTTGAACCATCTACTCGTCGACTCAAGGATATGTCTAAGAATGGCAACTGAGTAATAATAAAATGGATGATGACATAGGCGTCTATGATTATGATAACGGTTGGAGTATGAATGACCATAAAGTAGATTATTTAATATAGATTGGTTCTTAGAATGCATGCAAATCTGAGAGGGATGAAAAAATTGATGAAAGTGGTAAATCAATAATTGGATCTGGTAGGTTGGTCAAGACTTCAGTTGACTTTTAACCACCGTAAACAATTCTCCGTCCGTATATAAGATAAGATCCCTCATTTTGCCGCATCCGCCAGTTCACCTGCTCTTGTGGAGCGTGGTACATCGGCCGTAGTCACAGAATGATTTATTCATGTATACGAGAGCATATTTCAACTTGGTTTTATAAAGCTGAAAGAAAGTCTGTTAGAAGCTCAACCCTGGAACGTATGATTGATTTCCATCACTCAACAAACCCAGATAGCGACTTACAAATTGTTTATCGAATTCGCCCAAACCTCCCACGTTTTCTTCGTTATCAACTCCCTAAAACAGTGGAGGCGTTGGCTATTTATGGGCTAAAACTTAATCTGTATGTACAAAAGAAATATGTACAGTTCTTGCTTCTTACATAGCTATGACATTTCCCACCCTCAATAGTTTCCCCTCCCCCTTTTTAAACCAACTTTTGTATCCTTCCTTTGTCGCTGTAATTACCTTCACTTTGATTAGTTTGCGGCGTTATCTCAATTAACTGTCTTAATCTATTCACTGACTTCACTTCCAACAACTTGTCTAATCCTATTACATAACACTCCATTGATTTACCGCTTTCATAAATATTCTCACCCCCTTCTGAGTTACATACGTCCAATAGACCATGACGTATATGGCTTAATCTACTTTGTTATCATTCATACTTCAACTGTTATCATAATCACAAATGAGTATTATTCCCTTTTTCACAAGTCAGGCTGATATGAGTTTGTACAGTAAGTCTTTTTAGTAGACAAACCATATCTTCATGCTTCTCACAAATCATTATGATGTCATAGACGTATCTCTTGTAAAGAAAAACTTTATCGATGAGATAGCTGGCCAGATTTTCAACATATGACATAAATATCAGCTGGTATTGGTCGAAAGGGACTACCCATAACTGTACCGTCAAATTGTCAGAAGCGTTCACCTTCAAATGTAAAATGAACTTTGTTAGTACACAGCAATAATAGTCCTCCCAGAAACGTTGGAGTAATAGGGAATAGAGGGCTTCTAGAAGATATGTAGTCACACAGAATGGTAATAGTCTTGGACAATGACACGTTGGTGAATAAGGAATTTACGTCAAAAGAGTATACGGTCTTGTTTTTGATATTTATGTGTACAAAATCAATTTGGTCTTACACTACACCAACCTCAGTAAGCTTTGTTTTCTTACCAAGATCAGGACCAACTATGTCACTCTTCCTTCTTCTTATCTTTCTTAATTTTAATCGCCTGGTATGTAAATTGTTATATTTGTTCTCCCACTCTTCGTTTTAACATAAATTGACTTGGAAAGTAAACTTTTAATCAGATTATTCGAAACGTATTGCGCAAATGTATCACATTTTCAGATGAACGTCTTCTAATTACGTTATCTGCATTCATAAAAGGGATTAACTGTTTCAATTTTTTTTTACCTATAGCGTTAACGTATCAATTTTAACTTGATCTGTACTCTTGGATGCATTGAAGTTCTTGGAATTAGAGGTTGCTGTTTCAAATTGTACAGTGTCCCAGACTTTCTAACCTCTGAATAATACCAACTATGTGAAAGTATCTCAAATTATCTAATCAGTGTTTTGGGGGGAACGCAACACGTACTTACACAAAAGCTGTTCCCCTACAGATCTCCGTAACTTTTTGACAACAAATTCAATGAATAATACACAACTTTGAAATATACATTTCCATTTTCCTCCTTTCAGTTCACGTAGACCTTACTTCAGTCTTAAAGTGGGAAATGGATGAAAAACATGTTTGAATACGGAACAATACATGAACCAGGAGAAAAAGTTCTGCAGAGATGCATTAATTAAGTAAAGCCTTTCTTGTAGTTAATATTACGATGCACTCTTCCCATAAATGGGACCTGCGGGTTATCTAAAGCCTCATTCATGTTTGTATTTATAGATGTCAACGCTGAACAGAATCTATTTGTCCTATCTAGAGGTTTCTGTAGATTTATTAAATGATTTTAGGCTGTAATTCACCATGGACTGTCATCAGTTGAAGGAATAACGGAACACTGGGAGCACTGAACAGCTGTTTCGTCCTGGTATGGGACTCCTCAACGGTGCGCACCCACGACCCCTCCCACCCCACCAGGGATCGGAAACATGACCTTCAGGTTCCGTGGCCAGCACGTTACCATTGAGCCCCTGGGTTGAAATCCAGTGGTCCACATTTCCTACTTCCGTCAGTTCACCATGTGGCGCGACCTACGTCCAATTTTGTCGTTGAGTAACTATCCTCACGTTCGACTTGGTTGACTTCACTGGTCGCGACTTCTCACTGGAACTTAAGGAGTCACCTTTCGAAGCTAGTCACTAATGAGCGCTAGATTAGTTCTGTGTAGAGGTTTGTGGAGGTTTACTAATTGATTTTAGGTTGAAATTCATCGTTGACTGACATCACTTGAGGAGGAGTGAAAATCCGGGAGTATTGGAAAACTGTTTTGTCCCAGTATGAGACTCCTCAGCGGCGCGCACCCATGACCATACCAGGGAGTCAACCAAGTCGAACATAGGGACAGTTATTCGAGGAAGACATTGGATATAGGTCACACTGTGTCGCGAACTGAGAGAAGTAGGAAATGTGGACCACTGGATACCGACCCAGGGGCTCAATGGTAACGTGCTGGCCACGGAACCTGAAGGTCATGTTTCCGATCCCTGGTGGGGTGGGAGGGGTCGTGGGTGCGCACCGTTGAGGAGTCCCATACCAGGACGAAACAGCTGTTCAGTGCTTCCAGTGTTCCAATACTCCTTCAACTGATGACAGTCCATGGTGAATTACAACCCAAAATCAATATGTATTTCAATAGGAGATGACCATGCGATTGACACTATAAATAAGCTCTACTATTTCCAGCTGATGAAAAGAAAAACCTACTGTTAACGACAGTTAAACACTACTGAATCTAGTATGATAACTTCCTTGAAGTCATGTATCAACACTAAAAACAATTTCTTCTAGCGATCGACTTTGGCTTAGTGTCGAAAAACACACATTTAATTACATCAGTATACAAATAGCTAACCAACAAATCTAGTAACCTAAATACTGGCAGTAAAATCATTAAGACTAATTTTTATCTGCCTTTAATCGTCTATTCACAGATCTACTGTTAGTATTAATTAATTACGATATATAATAATCTAATCTATCCTTTTCAGTTATCAATATAACATGGATAATTATCTGTCAACCCAAAAATATAATAGCTTTCTAGCCATTTATAATTTATTATATCAGTAATTCTAGATAAGAATGAAGTGTGTTGATAAAAATATGATAAACTGATGGGAGCCCCATAAAATTCAAGCAATCTAAAAACATATGCGAAAGTGATAAAGTATCTCTGGAAATGATTTAATTTTTCTGATACTTTCAGCTAAAAGCAAATCTTTGTGCTCAAAACGATCTAGATACTTAATTGTTGATTGCTTCAATGAAAAATGAAGTTCATATTGTAGCCAGTATCGTGTTCAATCTGTTCAGTAGCTAAAAAGTCTTACATAACAGACTTGAACAATGCTGTACTCATGTTGGTGAATAGCAGTGGAATCTAGGACGTATGTTTCATCTAATTTAGAACTTACTATTCCCAGTGACATTTGAACCCAGTACCCAATGCTTCAAACCCAAAAGCGTTATCCACTAGGCAACTGGAGCATGAAAGTTACCATAGATAACAGTTGTTGCTTGATAACTTGCAATTCCCCTATTGCTATACAAGGTAGAATCATTCAAGACTTGAGGAATGTTGTTGACAAATATGTCAATAAACCGTCTATATAGATGACGAAAACTGTTTTACCTAACAAATTATGCGCTACCTGATAATATTTTTGTATGATTAGACAAACCAGTGTCTTGACATATGAAGTATTGTGACACCTTTACATAGAGATAGGCTAACTGTATTGTCAATCCACTAAATAGATTTTAATCATGGTTGTTTCAACTGAAAAAGATTTTAAATACAAAGCATTTAGTTCAACAGTATTTATTCGCAGTTCTTGAAACCTTTTTAAGTATTGTTGAAACATCCAAGTTTTCATCATGAGATAAGTCACTTTTGTGAAGGTTCAAACTGTTACCGTTTTGTGCTTTAAGCACTCAAACTGTAGTCACTTCCTAGTTATTTTTTCAATAAGATGTTCAATTTGTATATGATTTGTAAATTGTACGGTCCTCGTTGGCATTTTTGACAACTGAGTAGTTTTTCGACTGCCCTAGTGTGATGTTAACATGCTTTCCACTGGAAACCATTTAACCGAGATCAGAAGGTGTGACCTCTGAAACAAAAGTGTTATGAACTAATGAAATATACTACTGCAGAACGACTTGAGTAGTTAGCAACCCCTCAAGCTGATATATAGCATTTATTTGGGTACACCGCTGATGTGCTCGGCTCCAAACAAGCAAAATAGTCATTCAGTGCTTAGATCACTCTTATCTGGCTGGCTAAATACTACAGATCAGCCTGAGTTGTACACATGTTGTATCTCCCGATATTTCCTTTTCTCCCTGATCAAACTCCTTGATTCCTTCGTTTAAATAAAGGACGTAAGTAAGTAAACACATTTATCATTGTAATATTTCCAACCTAACTTTTCACTCTTTATAGAATTCATTGAATGATTAAACTTTAAATGGATTAAAAATAAACAAACAGTTACTTACGTTTACAGTTTCTGATTTCGATCTTAGACGTTGTATGTGTTCTGAAGCGGAACGAGCCCTCTCTGAAAGAGCTTGCAATGACTGCGATAGTTCAGTCTAAAAATAATTAAAAATATTACGAAAAATTATTCTTTTACATAGTTATGAGTGATATAAATAAATATAAATGGTTAGTGTATTTTTGAGATGAATGGGGATTTTTTTTAAATTTCGAAGTAGTATTCATCATGGACTGACATCATTTGGGGAACCATTGAAAATCTGGGAGCACTCGATAGCTGTTTCATCCAACTGGTATGGGACTCCTCAACAGTACGCACCCACGACCCAGCTAGGGATGGAACTCAGGACCTTCAGGTTTCACGGCGAACCCATTAATCATTCAGCCACTGTGTCGCTTCCCAGTGGTTGACAATTACTAACTTGTGTCAAATCACGACATAGCGCGACTATCACCCAAGGTCTTCAGTTAGCATCCACTTCACTTCCGACTGGTTGGCCTCATAGCTCACGGATTCTCATTAGATCTCATTAAACCTATGGTAAAATATTGTTTTATTAATTCAGTTTCATTCATAAGTTTCTAACAATGTTGTTGTTGATGTGATACCTATAGATTAACTTGTATTGATAGGACTACTCTAGCATGAGAAGAAATAAGGGTTAGGGGTCACCTACTATTTTTCTCATTAACAAATATTTGTTACTGCACAGAATATTGGGCCACATATTCGATGTTTTTTTATGAAAAGAAAATGAACCCCTAAGTCAAATAATAAATGTTCTATTCTTCTCTTATCTGTGATGATTTGAATTACCAAATCGTGATTAAACGAGTTAGTTCAAGCTATTAAGATAAGAGGAACGTCTCACAGAAGGTATCTCATATATCCATAAGATTCAAGTCACCACTGATTTACAACTAGTGTAACATATTGGTTTGCCAAGCCATTCCTTTCTGGTAAACAATGCATAGATTCATACTATCATTTCTCATAATAAATATAACATTTTGCAGACATTTATACACAACATCGTTATAATACTCAAACGGGCAAATTATTATTATTATTTGTCCCTTAAGTTCTTAATGGAACATAGGGATTCACTAGCACGTCGACATTCCACTCTCTTCTCTGCAGTCTTCTCAACCTGGCTCCACCAATGCCCACAACCTCTCATTTCTTCCTCACACCATCTCCTCCATGTCACCCTTACCTCACCTCGGACACCCAACTCGTCGTCTCTCATCTGGCTTCCACTCGACAACCTGGCCTGGTGCGTGATGTCCCCTGTCGATCTTCTCAGTGCATGCCCAATCCAATCCATCTCCACTTCCTCCCAGTGCATATTTGTTGAGTGATAGATTCTTGCTTCGTTGGTTCGTTGCCAGCCAGTCAGCCAGAGTTCCTTGTTGATTATTCTTTCTTGTCATCTGAGCCCCAGTAACGAGCCAGCGTAGGTGGCAGTTGTTGATGAATATGTGTAGTTTGTTAGAAGTGCTTTTCGCAACGTGCCGAAAAGTCTCTCAACCATCACATGGAAGCACTGACTTGACGTTGGTGTTGAAAATCCGAATCTTGTTCTTTATGCTGAGTTCAGAAAACATCCACACTAGTTTCAGGCTGATGAACGCAATGAGTAAATGATGCCGTACACTAATTTTTCAAGTATCTACCTTTTAGACTTATGAAAGTCTGATTAGATTAGCATCAAATTTTGGGGCCAAAAATCGTTTGAAAGCACTTGACAAACGCACAGATATGATGCCTTAGCCAAATTTTTCATTTTTCATCTTAATAGAATCATCCACCCTTATATATATACCAATCTGTTTTATAATATAAACGAGTAAAGTTATAAGTTCAAAATTAAATGGTCAACTAAACTTTCTCAAAGATTATATTGTTTGCTTTCCTTGACTTATTTCAGTCAAATGTCCTTAATTAACCTGAATACTCAAAGCTGCCTCTTAGACGTAACATAAAATGAGCTGCATTAAGCAAGATGATTCATCATAGTCTTTTTAATGGCTATTATATTTGACCCTTGAATATATTTTTCCCCATTCATAACCTTAGAGAAAAATAATACTATTTTAGAAGAGAAGACGATGTTTGTGTAACAATTCACCTTATAGCTAAAACATTCGATGGTTATTTTTATGCAGGACTTCCTCTGAAAAGATGAATTTTTGAATATGTGATATAGATAACTGTTGGATTTCAGGATTGCCGTCTCAAATTATAGTTTGCTCATTGATTACAGCTATTGACAAGAGATATATAGGTGAAAATAGTTTCCATTAGACACTGAATTCATTTCGTAGTCAATGAAATCTCATTCATGACCACAGTACAATACTCTCAGCTTTTCAATATTTTAAGCTGTTGATATCAATCGATCAATAAAACCATCTTAATTCCCTACGAATCTGTTAGTTCAAAAGGAGAGATGTGTATTGAGAAGGGAATAGTTTAATGTACTTTTGTATGTAGGAAATTAAATTAAATATCTTAGACAAACAGAAAACTATACTATAATGTATTTAAACTGTCTCCAGTTGAACACATGAGAATAAGCAGACACATGGAGTCAGTTGTAAGAAGTAATGTTACTTTGTTTCTAAACTTTCACTACTTATCATCAAGTTACACTTGCATACGTCATCCACAGACTTTTTTCCCTGCTTAGGACCAAGAAGGCATACCAATTGCTTTTTCAGTTACTTATTTGTACATGTACATAAAATGCTAAATATATCTAGTGTTAAACAAGTAGCCCAACGATATTCCCGTTATGCTTAGACTTGGTGGCGTATTCTCTTGCAATATTTATTCCCAAACATCTAACTGATCCTGAAAAATAACAACGTAGAAAATAAATCCAAATGTTATGATATCAGTTTACAATTCTCCTATTAACATATTTAATGTCAGTGTATTATGAAATGACAGGGGTGAAGATCAGTTTTGCCTACTTTTTCTCATGTCTGACTTCATTTTTCCATAATGAATATATCAGATATCAGTGAAAAAAATCCATGTAAAAAACATACTACTCGAATTATGCAAGAAGAATAACTCTTCTCAGTTGGTGACTTGTCTTCAGACGTTGGTTTTTCCACCAATGAATATGAAGAGGTGTTTCATGCCCAGATAATTTAAAATTTGCCCAGAGTAAGAATGGTAGTATTCAACAGACATAAGATTTAAGGAGATAAGCGAAGATATTTCTATGAAGACAAGTTTTTTTTCTTTCATTGAGTAAGTTTACCTACGTCTTAAGGATACAAACATTCCTCTTTTCAGTTTTCGTCAAAACATATGTAAATACTGGTTTTACTTCCCGTTTGAAATTTCAGCTTTCATACTCCCCACTGTAATTCCTATCGCGGTCCTAAAATAAGTTTCAACCGTAAACTTTTTCTTTCTGTGAAGCAAACACTCGACTTCATTCATTTTTAAGCAGATCAGCATATATTAATTTCTCGTAAAATGAATGTAAACATAAATTTATGTAAATAGCTTTAGGAAACGTAACTAGTCACTTATTGAGGGTGACAATCATACTACTTAGTCGTGCCAGTGGTAACAGGGCACAGACTAGTGTATGCTTCATACTAAATACATGAGAACTATTCAAATAAGCAAACGCCGTGTAAGTTAACAGGAGTCGATTTGTAGGAATCCCTTAACCTAGGTTTCTTCAATCTAGAACTTGACTGGGGATATCAATTTCCTCGGAATCGCAGGCAAACCCTCCTGACTAATCCCAGTAAGCACAAAAATTAGGCCTATAGCTTCCTAACAGTTGTCTCCAGTTAACCAACACCTATCAAAGTGAACTGCAATGATAAGTTTCCTAGTTTGATGGACACATTACAAAGTGATCGCTAGAATTCGATCAGTCCTCAGGACTAAAGAAAATGAAATTAATTATCTTCCAATGACCAATTAATATACACAAAGACCATTTTCTGGGAGCAAGGAGTTAATTCAAAATACTGTTAATCACAGAATAAAATAGGTTAATGTAGTCAAAGTGATACACTTGATCATAAAAGTGAGCTTATTTCAAACCATCCTGTTTTGCTAAACGTTTCATCTGTATCCTAAGAAATCCAGTTAACCTGAATATATAATTTTTCCAAATAAACAAATGAAATAACCTTTGCCTCCTGTCACTCCCAAGTCCTCAATGACTAGCATAATACTAAATCATATACTAGAAAATTATAGACCATATACATGTTAGGCAGAACGAAACCTTTTTATCTAATTGCTTCGTTTAATGTTAGTCAAAAGTGTGGATGAATACGCATGACTGACTCTTTCAAAACGAATTAACTTTGACTAGGCACATATTTTTCCAGAAATTTATCATACAAAAGAAGTGTTACTTACGACAGCTTTGCTAAATAAGTAAAACAAAAAACAGTTTAAGGCACTTGTAGTTCATAATTTTACAATTTCTCCTAAATTCTTCAAAAAAACTGACTGTACATTCTTCTAATTTTCTGGTAATATTCTTTACACAGAAAATCTTTTCTTAATATAATACATTATGTATTGCTAAGTGAATGTTTCCGCTTGCTTAACCTTTTTCATATATTAAAAATTTTAATAAACAAATAATGAGTTACAATTTTCCAAACTGAAAATATGAGTATTAATAAATGTGTGCACCGCGATGTTGAGCTTCCTAGTTTGGTTGCCACATTGCAAATATGATCAATAGAATTTGGTCTGCACTCGGGACTAGATAACATGAAATTGGTTGCACTCCCGTGACCAATCAATGCATGTAAACCAGTCCTGCAGGAGGTCAGTCGCGGCCCGAATAGCTCAGTGGTAAAGTAGCTGACTACAACACTGGATGACGCGGGTTCGAATCTCAGTGGGGACATCAGTCCCATAGAAATTGTAGATATGCCTTTCTGACGAGTGCCAACAAGCACGAAACCTAGGTCAAGCAGGGCTTGTTGTCAATTGCCTCCAACCAATTAACAATAAATGTGTTCATTGTACTCAATTTCAATGATCTGATTGTTATTTGAGAGTTGGTTGGCAGTTATTGCTCAGAAACCAACACAT